GAGTAACTCGACAGATAACACAGCTCACATTCAGTAAAGATAAAGCTAGAAAAGTCATGTTGTGTCATGGGGTGAAGGGGAGACGTTCTGATTGGCCGTGGAGGAGGCGTGCGATTAATAAACTCCTGACAGAATATTATCAATCATTGGGGGTTAACCAGTTTCCGTGTCCACGTTTGCGGAAGGACAGCACTTAAATGTTCACTAAGGCCGACAAAGATCGTCCCGTCTGACCACACACGTCACGTGATCAACAGATTCACGTCACGCAGCTTTACTAGCTTTAGGAAACGAAATGAAAATTAGATTGAGATTAGGTGAGGGGGGCAGGGTGGGGTGGGGGCACATTTCTGTCCAGATTAAAAGCAGGCTGTGGGTCTACAGCAGTGGCTGTGCTCCTCTTTGGTATCCATCTTTAAAACATAACCACAGTCTTATGTGAACCGGGGGGGGTTACGCTGTTACGCCTGGTCACATGATTGTACACATGCATATCATTTCACTCGCTGTCGTGAAAGAAGACACAAAGTGAGATTCAGAAATTTGCATTCAAATTTAAGGTCAGCGTGGCCTCCTTTTTTCCTTGGACCTTATGAACTTCAAAAAAACGAAAACAAAAAAAACCCCACAAAACCCAAGATTAATCCTACAAACGTACAGGCGTCAGGAAGGAGCGGGTGACTCTTTTCCTCTTCCCTAAATCAAAGAAGAAGGTATATCATTGTTTTCACACAACATGAAGAGTTTAGAGGACGGGGGGAAAAAAGAAAGAAAAAGAGAGAGAGAGAAAAAGGAAAGAAGATAAATCTACAGGTAAATTACAGGAGGAGAGCGATACGAGCTCATCCCAGTCCTGTTTGTCCCAAAACCACCAGCAGTGTTCTGTCAGTTCACTTCAGTTCAGGTAAAATGTCCACCGTTGGACCCGTGCGTCAAGTCTTGATGGCTTCATGGCCGTATGAGGTATTTATAGTGTAACTCCTCTTTAGATGGAGTCGGATGAGGTATTCGTGGAACAGTCATGAAGACTTGTGCATTCTGCAGATGTGAATCCTTTAATTCCCTTTAATTTAACAGTGATTCCTTGCAGGTGTCATATAACTTCCTGAGAGGGATGAGAGAGAGAGAGAGAGAGAGAGAGAGCGGCCGTCGGAGCAGAGCAGCCAGCGTGAGGCCTGAGGATTACGGTGATGCTGTCAGATTAACGTTCAGCTCCGTCAAACATCAAACATTCACAGCACTAACTGCTCCGTACCTTCGACAGGAGCTCGGGCTGATTACGAGCGGCTGATTTTCTCCGGGTTTGCGTGGTTAGAGAGAACGTGTGCGGACAGGTGTGAAGTAAAACTAAAGGCTTCTACTCCCAGCATCCCATTTGGGTACTGGACCTGGCGCCGTCTGAAGCGAGGCGTCGCAAGGTTTTGAAACGAGGTATTTGTGTGCTGATCTACAGCATCTGATTGTTCACCAGTTAAACTTCAGCATCATAAAGTAACCTGAGCTGGCCCTGAGCACGTGGCCCGTGGCTGTGAGGTTTGGCTTTTTCTATACAAAGAGTTCGACTGACTGCCAGTTACCTGAATTCCCCTGATTGCAACGAGGTCAAAAAGAATACAAAAATAAAGTTGATTCAGGTCAACTATAGTACAGCTCCTGAGGTAAAGACTCCACTGCAACTTACATGATTTGAGGTATGTAAAAAGGTCAAAACTAAAAACAAAAAAAATCAATCATAAAAGACAAGAAAAAAAATGGCAACAAAACAAACAAAAACGTTCTAAGATAAAAACTTTTCAAGTTCAGTTGTGACTACGCCTGTCAGTGGGTTTTGGCTGAGCTGAATGTGTTTAGCATGTAAAATGGGATGAAAGTGTGTGTGTGTGTGTGTGTGTGTCATTGTCGTGTAGTGCTGTGAGTGTAAGTGTGTGGACAATAAATGCATAGCTGTGCATTTGGGCACATGTTGACGTGACGTCATATTCTCCGGCTCTGTGTTCGTTTGATTGGACAGCCAAGACGTTGACAGGGTGGATGAGGTATTTGTTGTGCAACAGTTTTTCTTATTGGTTTCTCGTTGTACTGTATATTCATGCGGTGTCTCCCGGTGGAATGGAGGCCCGAGGGAAAGGTACGCGGGCTACTCTGAGTCATGGCGACCCGCCGGGCACCGGCTCAGCCGAGCCAGGACCCTTGGAGGAGGAAGAGGAGGAGGAGGAGGAGGGACTGAGGTTCTGACCCGGTACGGAGAAGCCGAAGCCGCCGCTGGTTCCAGCGGAGGAAGCTGCAGCAGCGGCGGCGGCGGCGGCAGCAGCAGCAGCTGGAGTCCCAACAGACTTGTGGGCAAACAGGGTACCTACACAGAGAGAAAATGTTATTTTTAAGGTCAAGAAAAAACAAGGAAACTATAATGAAACCATCACCAAAATAACTGTGGCAAACAACAACCCAGACACACCTGTGTAGACGGTGCCGTTCACCTCCACTGACACAGTGATGCTGGCATTCCCATTGGTCGAGATGCTCAGAGACATATCCTGTGGCTTCTCATCTGAATGTACAGATACGACAGTCATGCATTTAGCATTTAAACTGATCATTTTTCAATTTAACTCAGATGTGCAATTGAACAGACAAGTTCTCGTACAATCCAAAATATTCACTTCCTTTCATTTGCAGCCTGAGTGTCACAGACCACTACACGGTGGGAACAAATGACAAAAAAACTAGAAACAAAAAAAAAAAAAAGGAAACCAAATAAATCTAAGAAAAACGGTGGGAACAAACGACAAAAAAAAAAGGAAACCAAACAAATCTAAGAAAGCAAACTAGAAACGATCAACTTTGGTTCCAAACAAATACACGGTGATTATCAGAGAGCAGCTGGAATTCAGCTCAACCCCTAATTCAGAATGTCCACAGCTGGAAGGAGCATCTTTTCACATTCACCTCTGGTGGTGATGGCTGGCGTTCCCAGGCGTAGATTCATCGGCATTTGAGAAGCCATGGCCAACAGGTTGTGCTGGAACGCCTGCTGCATCAGACGCTGCTGCTCTTCGGCCAGGCGGGCCATCTTCCTCTCCGGTCCCTCGCCTCCAACGCCGGTCTCCAGCTTTTCCCTCAACTGCTCCAGTGTGGCAGCCCTCGCCAGCCCGGCAACCTGCTGCTGACCGAGGGTCAGCGCCATAGGGGGCCTCGCTGCCATGATGGAGCTGGTCAGGTCGTCTGGGAGGGAGAGAAATGAAGAGGTTTGTTCACGAGTCCACTACTGATAAATGATGTGATAATATTTGACTGAGTTTAAGGATAAGTTTGCTGTAAATAATACCATGAGCTGCTCGACAGTCAACACGTCCTTTATCTGAGAATAACTTGTGGTACTTTTAATCTACAGCAACCTCAGCTATTATTAAGAGCCGACGACTGTATGACTAATAGAGGTTCGGGTGCAGTCGCAGTGACGCTGACTGAGGCACAGTCACAGTTTCAGGTCAATAAGTGGACTCTGCTGCTGTGGGCTTTCAGCTTGGGAACGTGTTATTAATCAGCAGTAAAAGGTAAAGGCTCGGAGCAGCCAGAGGCCAAACTGAGTCACACGCTGTCTCCGTAACACCTGGACAGACTTGGACACGCTAACAGGCAGGGATGCAGCGACTCATCCAATCGTATAAAATAATTGACAAACCACACGCAAACAGACTGGCAGCAGGATTTTTCCGAGTGTGGTCACTGCTAACTTCCTGTATGAACACACAACCTGGGCAACTATTAGCAGCAAAGCACAAATTATTGAATGTTAATGAGAAAATATCATCTTTGTGTGAATATAATAAAATAAAAAGAAAACGCTACAATTAAATATTTTGTATGAAAGTTATGCCTAAAAATCCCAGTGATCAGTCGATGCATTTATTTTCATGGGTGTGATTAGGTGTAGTTTTTCAAGGATACGATAGAGGGCAGACTTTGATAAGCTAACAGAGCATCAGCACTGTGCGTTTAAACGTGTTTAATGTTACGTTCATTGAGTCGCAGCCGTTTCCAAACTTTGTTTTGACTTTACTTATCTGATCACATCACACATTTAGAACATTTATTTTTTCAATAATAATTCTGTTCATGTGACATAACCTTACATGGCTGACCTTTCTTCAGAGAAGGTCCCGGAGAACCCTGCAAGCCGTTGAGGGCCACCGAGGCCCCAGCTCCCAGGGCTGAGAGGTGCATCTTGGGAGGTGAGAGGATGTGAGGGGCCGTGCTAGGAGAAGGAGAGAAGCGGAAGAGGCTGCTGCTGTAGCTCGGACGACGGCCTTCGCGGCGATTGCTGTCGATGGCGGCTTGGAGCTCATTTGGAGAACTGAGACCTTTCCTCTCACACTCATAGGGGTAGAGGTATTTCATGTATCTAAAGAGAGAAAACCACACAGAGGTTAGACACGGGTTAGTTTGGTTTCTTACTTATGCTACATGGGCTGGAAAAATGAAATCAGGTTTCTCTGGAGTTCCCTCACTGCATTTGTGAGACTGGTTTTCTGATCCCCTGCCCTGAAGCCGTGGACTGTTGTTTATTTTGACATCTTCAAAATCAGGTTACTCCAGAGAGCTTACTGCCTGGCTCAGGCTGCAAGCATTTAAGACTAGAGCTGAACGTTACAGCAGTTCAACAAGTATGAACAGTCAGAACAATGGCATTTATTTTTTCCATCCCATGGAAACACAGCATATAATGCACATCACCATTATGTATGCTGTCTGCATAATGGTGGAACAGTCCCATCAAGGATCAATAACGAGCTAAGAGCAGCACTGCTCCTTTAACAGCTACCAGAACAATGCTACACAACAACCCACCCACATTAAAAATACATAGAGGTTCATTAGGGCACCGTGCTAGTGGACAGGACAGAAGGGTGTTACACCCACCGGGGGGGGTGTACATCAACCGAGTAAGTGAGTTTTAGTCCGGGCTCGGTGTACCGGCTGTCAATCAAGCCCCACCTTAGTCATTGTGAACTCTGACCTAAATTATGTCAATAAATCTATGCGATCGATGGGATCTGTGTGTGATGTAATGGACGGAGAGATTAAACAGGAGGAGGTGAGGTGTCCTGCCCCGGAAAACAAACTCACATGTGTACAAACAGCACCACCGTCTGTACACAAACACAAACACAAACACACACACACATGCAGAGAAACAAACACAGAAACACACAAACAAAGCCACGTATTGTCACATAAAGGTGTCGAGAAAAAAAAAAAAAAAAGTCCCAAGTTTGATGTTTATATTTTAATATTATATGAAATTATATGAAATTATATGTTTTAATTATATGAAAACACACAGTGAAACAGTGATGTAGTAGGTCATGTGACGGACTTACTGTGTGCGCAGAGTAAACGCAGCACTGGTGATAGAGGTAGGCAGGTTGAGTCCCTTTGTGATCTCTCTCCAGATCTTCTTGTTGATGACCTCCACCAGCCCCCCCTTCTCAGTAACCAGCTTGTACAGCATATACAGATCCAGCACCTGCTTGGCCATGATAGGAATACGATTGACAGGAGTTCCTGCAGAGGAAGGAAAGAAAAAAAAAAACTATAAATGATACAGTAAATTGTTCATGATAAAACCATGAAACCATAACGTCCACTTGTTGGTGAAACACCTCTTCACTGCATCAACATTGTTTGTTTGGACACCAGTTTATCAAAGCGTGGCAGACGTGTTGCCTTTACGCCTGTTTAACTTAGCTTAAAAAAATACATTAGCCTAGAAAGACAATCTGTCTTGACCTGGAAAGAGGATTCACAAACAACACAAAGCAAAGCGGCTCAAGACGTTTGATACAGATGCATTAATCTTGTCAACAGCTTATCTGCATTGAAGCTTGCAGGGAGAATGACGGGCAGGGGTCGGGCGGGGGGAGGTCGGGGGGGCGCGCTGAAGGGGCAGAATCAAAAAGTGCAATGTGCAACAGTGTATATTTGAAACGGGAGGAGGGGACTAAGGCTTGTGTGGATCCACTAATCCTCGGGCAGCGGTGGGTGGGGGCCTCGTGGATAGGCCGGTATAATGAAGCTCATTTAGAGGATTGTCCTGGCTAAGTCCACACCCCTCTGCTGTTACTGCTGCTGGACCAAACACAGGCCGTCACAGTGCCTCGCACTCGCGGCTAATGCCAGCCAATCCTTTAGCCCCTCGACAGGCCGATCTTCACCTGGAGCCGCGGTCATTAATGACTCTGTAAAACAGCGGTGTAATCAGAGCATGAAGATTAGGCCTGATTAATTTTCTTAAATTAGAAACGTGTCTTTAAGCTCTCGGGGTAAAGACTGAGCACATGGGCCTGAATTAGAGGCGAGAGGTGAAAAAAGGTGTGGCATCGTCAAGGACCCAACCTGGCTAGCACACATTTGAACATACGAGAGGTGTACATACATACATACATACATACATACATATACATATGCACATAGATATATATGTATACATATACACACACATACATACATAGATATATATGCATATATACACATATATAGATATATATGTATATCTATATATACACAAACACATATACATAGATATATATGCATATATAGACATGTATACATAGATATATATGTATATCTATTATATATATATACATATATACATAGATATATATGCATAAATACACATATATAGATATATATGTATATCTATATATACACAAACACATATACATAGATATATATGCATATATAGACATGTATACATAGATATATATGTATATCTATTATATATATATACATATATACATAGATATGTATATATGTATACATATACATATATATGTACACATAAATATATAAATATATGTATATAAATATGCGTACAGATATATATATGTATGTATGTGTGTGTGTGTATGTTTCACTAAAAAGGGATTGCAATATATAAATATATATATAAAGCAGTTCTGAGCAGCGAGTACAGCAGCGTCTGAGGAAAACGTTTCCCTCCGGTGCCAGAGCCTTGTCGTTACTTTAATGCAGCACAGGACATCAATCCCGCATCAAACAATTAGTACAACTCTCAGGGTCAGAGATCAGCCAGAG